CTACACTATGGCAGCGAGTGACTGACCCAGGGAGTCCCTGAGTGGCACAAAAGGCTGCCGACCTTTGACAGGTTGGAGGTTTGAGACACCCAGAGCACCTCAGAGGAAAGGCTCGGTCTGGTGACCTAATAAAAAGTAGCCATCGAACAGTACTGTTTTGCACAGAATGGGCTCAGGCCTAGGAATAATTGTGAGGCTGGGTCAAGACCTGGCTGTGTTTCGTTCTGTGGTGGGTCAGAATATGGGATGGGTCGGAAGCAACGTGATGGCACCTCACAACAACAATTTAGTGCAGTTCTGCTCTGACACAGATGGGTTGCCGTGTGTTTGAGTTGACTCGGTGACAACTGTGTTTTTGAGGGTAGCCTGGAGCCTCCCTGCAGCCCTGTATCGTAGCTCAACCCAGTGTTCGCCACAGTCTTTCCACAACCCTTGCACTGTCCTTGCAGAGCGCCAGTGTGGCTGCCCGTCTAACTAACTGGTGGCCCAGCCTTTGTCCGGTGCAGCCTCTTCAAGCTGCTCAGGCCTGAGTCACACTCAGAAATGCACCCTTTCTTCAACTTCTAGTGCCAGCCGCTCCCATAGTGGTCCCCCAGCTCCCTCTGGACCTGGCAACTTTGTCCCCATCAGCCTTAGCAACCTTTGCTCACATGTTCCTTCAATGTCTCTTTCCTTTGAATGTTTTGATATAGGTATTGGGCATTCTAGGGCTTGTGTCTGTAGTGACACACCCTAGCTCCTTCTACATACTTGCCCAATTGTGGTCGAAAGACGTGGTGGCACAGTGGTTACAAATTGGGATGCTAGCCTGAAGTCAGCAGTTCTAAACTACCAGCTGCTCAATGGGAGAAAGATGAAGCTTTCTGCTACCAAAGAGTTAAATCTCAGAAAGCCACAAGCTCTACTCTGCCCCCTAGAGTTGGTGTGAGTCAGAATTGATTCAATGGCTGCAACTCTAGCCTGAGTGCACAACCGAGACCTGCTAGCACAGTGGTTATGAGTTGGACTGCTACCTGCAAAACCAGCAGTTCAAAAACACCAGCCATTTGGTAGGAGAAAGATGAGGCTTTCTATTCCCCTCAGTCTCAGAAACCCACCATGGGCAAGCTCCCCACACCCCTCCCCTGTTATCCTATAGGGTCACTATGAGTTTGAATCAACTCAATGGCAGTGAGTTTGGTTTGGTTTGAGTGCACACCCAAGAGGATTGCTTCTCTTTGTCTGGTAGCTGTGGCCTGGCTCTGGCTTGGGCAGCCCAGGGAACATCTCTGCCACCCAAAACCAGAAAAACAAACCCACTGCCATTGACCCCATTCTGACTTATAGCAAACCTGTAGGACAGGGCCAAACTGCCCCTGTGAGTTTCTGAGACTGTAACTCTTTACAGGAGTAGAAACCTGTTTTTCTCTCAAGGAATGAGTGTTAGACAGGGTCCTCTAGAGAAACAAAATGAGGACACTTATGATTATATCTATATCTATATTTGGATAGATATATACAGCATGAAGGAATATAGCAGCTAATTAGTCCACACAGCAGTACAGAGGGCTCAGTTCAACTGACTTTTGTAGAACAGTTAACATACTGGAAATCCTTAAACTCATCAGGGCTGCTGGGTCCAAGGTCAAGGAAACAGACAGCTGAGTCTTCCTTATGGCAATACAGGCAGTCCAGCCACAGGCATCAAACAGCAGGGCGGGTCACCAACAGTCAGCAGTTCAGGGGCTTATCGAAGCAGGTTGGGGATATTGAACTCAAGCAGGTTGGGATATTGCACTCAAGTGATGCAAGACAACAGGATCCGACAGCCTCAAGTTCAAGCGATGTATACATCAGCAGCATGGTGAAACAGGTCTTGAAGGAACCTCAAGCTCTAGCAACACAATCCATGGGTTGGCTGTCCCACAGGCAGTGTAGCTCACAAGTTGAGGCAGAGAACTTGCTAAAGCAGCTGCATGCTAGTCTGATCACCAGAGAGCAAGAGAGAAGGGTGGGGCTTGCCGAGCCATTTACCTTTTTGCCCTCCAATCAAACTGTGACCTTATTAATCCCACATGCTCCTAGTGGTCAGGTTGGCACAATCAACCTACCTATCACAGAGCAGCTGGTACTTTCTAACTGCTGCCCTTGCAGATCGCAGCCCATTGTGTAACCACTATGCCACCAGGGCTCCTATCTCACTATCCAGTAGGCCACAATTCCACCTTCTCCAGTAAATTCTGGACTCTGGTTCCAAGGTACTCCTTGTGTGACACTCTTCTTCAGTGTTAGGGCACCCATTCGAGTTCTCTTTCCATCTCTGTGGTTACTCCCCTATCCTAGATTGATAGTTTAATAATAATTATTAAACTTCTGTTTAAATCACTGTGTGGCTTTGGTATCCTAATTGGACACAGGCTAATAGAGTTGATTACTGGTAAGTGAATTATTTTTCTTATGCTTAGTAGTCCTCTGTGTTTTCTCTTTTATGTTATAAAAGTGTGCAGCTGTTTTATTTCAAGAAATGGTAGCTTTAAATTTAAATTCAATAGCAGGGAAGCAAAAAAGCCCATGTGGAAGAAGCACACTAACCTGTGTGATCATGAGGTATAGATGTGATTAGGCATCAGAAGACCCAAAACAACCATATTGATGCAAATGAGGGGGGTTGACATGGGGACCCCAAACCCATCTGTAGACAATTGGACAATTGAAAATGATGATGACAACATATGGACAAATGTGCTTGATACAATTGATGTATGGATTGTTGTAAGAGCTGCAAGATCCCCCAATAAAATGATTTATATAAAATTAAATTTAAATTCAAGTTCATTAGGTATTTTTTATGCCATCCCTCTCCCACATCAAAATGAATCCACTGCTGTTAGTAGATTCTAATCTACTGTTAAAAGATTCTGATCGTTTTACAGTTCTATGGAGTAGAACTGTTCCATTGGGGGTTTGAAGGCTGTAATCCTTACAGAAGCAAACTACCACAAGTTCCTCCCACAAAGCAACTGGTAGGCTCAAATCACTGACCTTTTACTTATCAGCTGAGCACTTACCAGTGTCCCATCCAGTATTTTGATTTCTATCAAAGTCTTTTCTATTACTCTCTTTAAACTTGTGTTAGGTTGAGTTGTCTATAAAACAAACCAGTGACACTCATCTATATGCAAGGATGAACTTTATATCAAGATGCAACTTAACATTCAGAGGCATCCCCACCTAGACCAACCCAAGTCCATGGAACCGATGTTAACTAGGCACACTTCAGACTCATGGAGGTGCAAGCTGGTGGTACAGAAGGGTGAAGCAGGAAGCAGTGAGATCACAGGCTGGTTGGTGCAGAGTCTCATAGATTCAAGGTTGGTGGAAACATGGTAGGATGTTGACAGCTTTCAGGGTGGGGTGGCCCACATGAGGCCACCCTTGAGGCAGACACAGAGCCCCCATGAAGTTGCAGCCAGGAAGAAGGTGAGATGGAAGAGAGAAATTTGTCTCAGTTCATCTTGCTCTTATACAAAAGGCTTAAGACACCAAAGAGGCGTTATTAGGCTGTTACTTGAATGACAAGTTTGACTCCACCCCTACCTAGGAGGGTCCAGTTGACATAATATCTACCCATCACAGTATTTCTATCCATCTTGAAGATTGTTTTGCCCCCTTGAGAAGTTTATGGAGTTTCTTTTCTGATGATCTGTTTTTTTCCTTGAGAGGGGTGTACTGATCTCTCATTATTGTTGCTGAGCTAGTTCTTTCGCCAATTCTGTGATGACTTCACTAATGTATTTTGAGAGCTTTCCTTGGGTGTATATATATGTATATATATTTATTATGATTATGTCTTCTTGGGCTATTGCTCCTTTAATCCCTTATGTAGTATTTCTTCATTCTTGTCTCTCATTATGATATTTGCCTTGAAGCCTATTTTTTCAGAGATTAATATTGGCACACCATCTTTTTGTTGTCATTTTCCATGAGGACTTTTAGTATATGCAACTATATGAGGAATTCACATGGAAGTGGTTTAGAGAATGGAAGGATGTTACATAGAACTCCTTTTCAATGTATAGTTCATAAATACATTGGTAGAGGATCCTTTTGGAATGTCTCCATCACTAGTGTATTGTGTTTGTTTTATCTTTCTAAATGGGTTTAGCAGACTAGCAAAGACATGAGGGAGTATCTCCAGGGTTGTCTCTCGGGGTCAGAGAAATGATCACTGGTTTGAGCTTCATATTCCCTGCCTGGCTTCAGGATGCCAGCTTTGCACGGTATGCTGCTTTTGTCTAGTGACAAATAAATACTGTGGACCAAATATTGTCCTCAGCCAAAACCAAATAAAAACAAGATAAAACAAACAGCCCCTCCACCCCCCCAACAAAATATAAACCTGTTACCTCCAAGTTCTAATTCATGTTAATGCCATGTGCCCCTGGGTTGTACAAACTGCTAAATGCTCACTGAGCCCAAGGCCGGTGGTTCCAACCCATTCAGAGACACTTCAGAGGAAACATCTGGTGATTTGCTTCTGAAAGGTCATGGCCTTCAAAGCCTCATGGAGCACACGGAGTCCCCGTGAGTACTGTCCTAACTGATGAAATCTATTAAGTCTCTGTGGTATATGTGGGTGGGTGGAGACTAGATCAATTGACAATAATAATGAATAATAAATTAAAGGAGAAAGCCCAAGAACACTTTTGAACATAATCAGAAGAGCAGAGAAACAGAGAGGACTCAGGTTGAGAAAATCATCATTTACATTTCTTACTGCAGTCCTTAGTATTTTCCTTCTCCATGGACAGGTAGCTCTGATATTACAGACAGCCAAACTCATCTACTCCTGTAAAGACAGCCCTCCATTCTGTGATCATGACAGAATTTGCACGGAACTATAAAATACTGTCATGGTGGTGGTATAAGGATGCACTTCTTGAGGAGCTGATACCAAGGGCTCAAGTAGAAAGAGACTGGTTTGAAAATGATGATGACAACACATGTACAAATGTGCTTGACACAATGGATAGATGGGTTGTGATAAGGGCTTTATGAGCCCCCAATAAAATTATTTTTTTTTAAAAAAAGGTTACTGTGTGCTGGGAAGGAAAGATATGACTGCAAAAACAAATAAACAAACAACCATTAATAAAGCAAGTTCTTGAAAAAAAAAAAAGAATGTGCTTCTTTTTTTAGTTCAAGGACTGGCACTTTTTACTTCTGAGCCATTTCTGAGAATCGGGCCATGGTGTTTCCGTTCTCTTGAGAGTTGCTGCTAAAAGCAACTTACACTGCATCATGCCTGAGGATGCCATTTACGTTCAAGGTCATTGCGTATTCTCCCTTCAAAAGCATGTGGAATACACAGTATTCAAGCTCATGTCAGTTGCTGCAACTAAAGTCTAGCTCGTTTTCATCCAGTCGTGAACCTTAGTTAGCCCCACCACTTCTAAGAGGCACGTTTTGTGGCTATTCAGTTTTCTACGGACTCAGGGATGGAGACACATATTTGTATGGATGTAGGGATGGCATTTGTGTATTCGTCAAATAGCAACAGCTCTTTAACTTGGTGACATGTTTTAAGCAATTGGGTGTTGTTGTTCGGTGCCAGCTCGTAGCGACTCTGTGCACCACAGAGAAAGCCCTGTGTCGTCTCGTCCCGTTCCATGCCCGCAATGGCCACCGTGGCCTGCGAAGCTAGACTGTCGTCTCTGTTTGTCCTACCCGTTTACTTTGAAGACATCTCCGAATAATATCCTTTTCTGCCCTGAATCTGAAACCAAAGAGAGAGACAAAGATTAAAAACAGAACGTATTGTGTGCCTGGAAGCCGATTAAAGGGCCAAGCACCCAGGGTGCTTACGCTTGACTTACTTTGTTATTGTTCTTTGAATCTCTCTTTTTTCTTCTTCATGTAATCTTTGAAGAATGGATTCCAAGAGAGAAAAATGAAAGTTAATGTACTGAGCCACCTGCAGAGGGAAAGAGAGGAAAGCAGGTCAAATGTTTGTGTTGGAAGTGCTGGTTCAGACGGGAAACAAAGACAGGAATCAGGGTTACTGTCTTCCGTACGTCACTGCTGATTTCTTCCGCATCTTTATCCATGAGGAAAATGCGAGCATGTTTCTCCGAAGGTCCTTGTAGGAGCCTCTGCAGTAGAGGGATGTCTGTCTTCTTAAGCCGTCTCTGCTCTGCCCATGAAAACAAGATCCCCCTCATCAGGAGTTCATGACAGAGACAAAGAAGGAAGACTGTTGACCCCTTCTTTCTCTCTGTACCTCGCCTGGAAATAAACCGGACTAGAGAGGACACTCACCAGGAGGCACTCACTCTAAATAACAAAATGAAATGAGAAGTTTTCCATGAACTGAAAATAGAGCTAGCTCATATCGACGTCCGTATAGATGTCTATGTGAATAGCTAATATCAATACGCACCACTGGCTCAAAAAAGGATATGCTATATGTAATTTCTCATTCTTTCAAATACTTGTACTTAAGTATTCTTTCTCCACCCTTTTCCTTGACCCTTTCTTTCTCTCCCACTGCCCTCCTTCTGCCTTCCCCATGGTCAGAAACTGTCAGCATACTGGAATCCTGTGAGAAGAAGATGCTTTAAATGATCGTGCTTCCTTACCTCCCGTTGAAAAAATAATGTAGAGAGCAAAATCCTGGGGACTGTTTTCAATCTGTCAAAAGGAAAAAATACATAAACCAATGTGAATCTTTGTTGTCCTATGATCTTATCGAAACCAGCTCGATTCAACTTATCTATTTGCTTCTCTACTTTCAGACAATCAGATTTCTGTTTCACTGGAAAAAAGTATGATTTCTTTCGGTGCATGATTACTATAACTAAGAGAGAAACTTTCAGAACTGAACAGCCCATTATGGTAGACTTTGGGCTGCTAACCACCTGGTAGGTAGTTCAAGCCTATAACCAGCCACGACACAGGAGACAAAGAGGCTGTCTGCTCTTGTCACGATATCGAGTCTCAGAATTTCTGTATCGGGTCCCTTTGACTCAGAATGGACTTGTTGGCTGTGGGGCTGGTTTGGGTTAACAAGTTCAAGGTCTTTCTCAGAAGAGTGTGTTTAGAAGAGCTTCTACCGTTACATCATATACATGACATTTATAGCTGTTTAGTGATGAAGAGTACCTTGAATTTTTGGAGAAGTTGCTTTATTACTTCTTCAGTTCTCATGTTACTGTTTACCCTGACTTTAGTTTTGGATTCAAAGGCTGGAGTGAAAATGGATGTCTACAAAACATAAAAAGAAGGCAGTTGTCCTTAAATGATATTAACAATACGAGCCAATGCTTTGAATCTGGCCATTTCACAGAACACCTTTGGTCTCACAGATACAGCACTTCAGTCTCTGGCTCCATCTTCACATGGCTCCTGTTCCCTGGTAAGAACACCAATCATACTGGGTCCAGGACCGCTCAAAGTAATTATATCTGCAAACATTCTATTTCCAAATGAGGTCACATTCACAAGTTCTAGGTGGTCATGACATTTGGGGAGATACTAATTTGTCCCAATACAGACGGGTTCACCCTTCATAGTGTTAAGAACCTGGCTTCTGAAATCAGATAAACCTGGGTTCAAGTGTACAGCTGAAACTTAAAAGCGCTGAGAACGAAGACAAATTAGTTAATCTCTGTGAACTCATATGTAAAGGGAGAAAACAAAGGCTGTTTTACTGGTTACTTAAAACACAGACTTAAAACAGATCATTTAACACTTAACACAATGGGAATGCCCCCAAATGTTAGATACACTATGACTCCTGTGGTTATTTGGGAGTGCCTGGGTGGCACAGACCAGTAATAACCTCCCACAGAACTAACAGAGAGATTGGTGGTCCAGTCCACCCAGAGTCATCTCAGAACAAAAGACCTAGTGATGTAACTTCACAAAAGTCAGAGATGGAGTACACAGGCAACATGCTATTGTTATTAGCACTATATTTAATTGTAAGTTGAATTGAGTAGTATTGTTAGTTCAACAGATACAAGCCTCTGTGAAATTGAATTGATGGAAATGTAACTTACCTTATGGTTATAGAAATGTCCATTAATGGAGGCCCTCTGGTTGCATCTGTCTTTTCTCTCCATCATGAGAGGCCTCATCCTTTTTCTCACCAAGGCTGCGTCGCTCATGGTTCTGTAGAGCAGTGGGGACTCTGGTTCTTCTTCTGTATGAGACTTCAAGGTACTGCTATAGTGAGATAAGTATTCTGGGAGAATAAAGATGATAAGCTCAGACCGTTTAGTACTCCCCTTCCTTGTATCCTAGGCACAACTGAATGTGTTTTCATTAAGTTTAAAAAACACACAGACAATTGTAGTCTACCACTTAGCTACCTATTGATTATTAAATGGAATCTGGGGTTATTTCTGAAAAATTCTTATAATGAATTTTATATCAAAGGAAATTACCATATGACTAGAGTTTCAGCACTTTTTCAATTTTACTTTTTTGGGGAGTGGGGGGTGGTGAGTTTGGTATATTATATGGAATCTGCAATAGCGCAGCTGGAAGAAACTTCCTAATTAATTCTGAGACCAGAGTTAAACGTACAGTGAGCTGAACCACTTTCCTATGGACACAGTACTTATAAATGATAGATTCAGAGCTGGATCCCTATTTTTCCTTAACTTAAAATTTACTGAACATAGGGCATTATTTCCCTTAAACATTTTCTGAAAGACCCTTGAGAAGGCAGCGGTGCTCTCTGGGGAAGCACCACACAGACTGTAGTTCCAAGTTCGATAAAGGCAAAAGGAAAACAACAATCTTTCGTTCTAGTGCCTAGTAGTAACACGATTCAGTTGATTCACATATGTTAACTCAGAATTCTGACCTAAATGACTTTCCCCACCCCGATTACCCATGGTCTCATTCTTTTTCATCAGGCCTTGTATACACAACAATGATCCATAATCTGTTAGTAATAATTAGGCTATTGCGTTAGTTCAATTTCTATAGCATATTTTGGAATACAAGACTGCAGTGCAGCATTGCTGTTATTGTTGTTAGGTACCATCAAGTCAGTTCTCATGCACAGCGACCCTGTGGCCAACAGCAGAATGAAACACAGCCTCGTCTTGTGCCTTCCCCACAGTCACTGCCATGCTTGAGTCATTGTTGCAGCCACCGTGTTCAGGGTCTTCCTCTTTCTCATTGACTCTCTACTACTGAACCTACCTATCGTTTAGGTGTGCATCAGTGTTCAAATGTTATTGGGTTTGCCTCTAATATATTCTAAGGTAAAGAGGCAGACAACTTAAGCCGGCTGTCTGCTCCCTCGTGTACTTCAAGTTGACATCTTTGCTAATTTCCTCAACCAGGAATGTCAGTATCCAATAAGAAGACATTGTTTTGCTCTATTTCACTTTGGGCTTTTAAATAAGTATCTAGTATAATTAGAGTATTATCCAATAGATCCTTCATTTTTCTCTGTTGATGATGTGTGAAGATAGAGGTAGGTTTTAATGTTTTCTGTAATGCCAAAAATATTGGGTGTCTTTGGAACTCAAAGGGCTAGCTGCAGCGGATTTATATCACACAACCTCAAGGATCTGAAAAGACTGAAAACGACCTCCCCGTGGGAGAGCATGTTTGTTATGGGACATGGTTTGAAGTGGAAAAGCCGAGCAGGAGTGGGAAAGAAAAGATGACTGAAATTGAGAAGACAATCCCAGCAGGCTACCCTGTGAAGACCAAATCTGACTTTGCTCTATCATCATCACTGGAAAATCCACCCACCCTGAGCCCCGCTGTCAGCTTCTCCTTGGATTTCACTCCATCGAGCTACACGTATTCAGGAATTAGTGGTGCCACAGGACTGGTGGTTGCAAAGTGAGCTTCAAATCCACCAGCCCACTCCACTGGATCAAGAGGAGGCTTTCTCCTCTCATAAAGATTTGCAGCCTCAGAAACCCCATTTAGAGATGCTATGAGTCGGAACGGATTCTATGACAGTGGGATTGGTTTACACATGCCTGATACACAGCAAAGTCTCATCAAGTGGCAGCTTCCACTCTCATGATTGGTATTACATTGCCATCCTCATGGTGACAGCTGCTTTGACAGCTGGCAGTTTTCATTAGTTTGGCAAGTTTGGTTTTAGCCCACTTGAGGGAAAATTTATCTTTCTCCTTTTAAAATAAATGCTGGAAATGACTCTGTGAAATATGAAAGTGGCCTGAGAATACCTGTCTCCTTGAGAGGGGCAATGTTGTATAACTTAGTAAGTAAAATATTCAAATTTTTAAAAGATGTAGGATTAGGTCTCAGGAATTTTGTCTTTAATATTAAAAGTTACTGAGTATGATAAATGATCCTAATCATTGTTGAAAATATTGAACAATTTTATGTACACAAATATTATTCAAGTCATTATCTCTCTTATCTGATAAATATATATGACTTGCTGTAATTTATTAGTCATATTTTTCTATAGCAAAGTAAGGTTTTTAAACATCATATGAGCACTACAGTGACTTAAGTAGTATGCTTCTAAGAGACTTAATACAATTTACACTCAAAATATGTACAGGTATATATATATATATAGAACAAGAGTTTACTCAAGAGTGGTATGTAAAATGTTGAATTTCAGAAAAACATCTAGACATATTATTTTATAGTAGCTTTTCAAAAAGGCCCTCCCTACTCATAAGTGTTTGATACTGACCTTCCTTAGCGCCCTTTGCTTCTGTCCCAGGAATCTGGCTTCTGTCCAGCTCACTGATATGATGCAGATCATCAAACTCTCCCCAGCGCGTCATTCCCCTGGAAAGTGTTTAGTCAGGTAAGTGACTCCAGTTCCATCTGCATTGAGGGCCATGGTGGTTCTTAGGTTTATACTATTAATAGGGTAATTTTGAGTCTTCATAGTTAGACACCCTATACAAAGCTAATGGTAATTTTTTGATATTAAAGTGGCACATCTATCAAAGTGGATAGCACGCATTTTAAATACTTCCTGTGCTTTTTTTGAGCCTATTTTCATATCTGACCACAATAATTCAGTTTCAGACTGAAACACAAGTTTGTATAGATCCTGTAACACCTATGTGCAAATAGAATTAGTAGAAACCAATATAACCCATCCTTGTAAAGCTATCTTACAATCCTACTGCACGTAGTACAAAGTACAGACTACTCAAACATGTGTTTTGTATGTATTATGCTCAAGGCATTGCTTATACAGAGTAGAGCTCAAATAGTAAGATGTGGTGCCCATCTTTCAAGGTCTTGATGGCTGTGAATAACGCAATTTACAGAGGAGACAAATGTATGAGAAACTTCCTGGCTGCAAATTATGACCCTATGTAGGATATTAATAATTGGCAAAGCACACGATCTACTGCCCAGAAAAATGAAACTGGTGGCTGCTTTTTATTTTTTTACAGCAGAGAAACCAGTTATTTGACCCATTGGCCTTCGACAGGCTATGTTTCTTCTTCATACCTCAGTGTCTTCATCATGGAAGTGGGGCTAATGTGTGCATGAGGCAGGACAGGGTTCTTATGAGGACTAACTGAGTTCATACTTGTGGAATCCTCGACATGGGATTCTACATCACGGCAATCACTCAATATGGGTTTAAAATGATCCCGGTCAGTTTCATCAAAAGGGCCAGTCATCTGCATCTGTTTCACGATGACTCAGGTAAACAGACATTTGATGGAAACTGTCTTTCTTGCCCCAATGAGGACCTTCCCCACAATATTTGTTTTCCTTCTGAACAGACATGTTTATGAATACTCAGAGTGGTGAATATGAATAAGTGATTCTTTTCCCCTTGGCCACTGGCTTCGTTTAAAGTCTTTTTTGAATTACCCATACATATACCATTTGAGCTTCACAATAACCTTATGAGGTCGATAAGGACATTATCTAATATTTGTTAATTTTCTAGCAATCTCAACTCTCCTGCATATAGTCAGTCAAAGCCAAATGTCATAAAGTCCATACACTACAGGTAGTGAATTTAACTCAAAGGAGAACTATTCCAAAAGAAGAAGAAGAAGAAGAAGAAGAAGAAGAACTACTCAGGTTCTGACACAGAAATGAATTAATCTTATGGTAGATGTGATTATATATTTTGTTAAATCTCTAGCAGATTATTAAACAAAAGAGGCAGATAGCAAAAGGAAAGGGAGAATACCAATGGAAAGTCACACGTGAAAAAGTGGCCCAATCTGATGATACTTCAAATGGAAGATGGCAGTCCCTATGAGGGATGTAGACCGGTGGACTCACAAATCCTCCACGTCCCTGGCAAACCCCACAGATTCAGCACAAACATGAGTGGGCATATGCAGCGTTTAATCCCTCTTCCTCCCTACCACCTCCAGCAGAAAACACCCGCTTTCACGCCTGCGTTTGTCTCGTGCCAAGTGCAGCACCATGCACTGCGCAAGTGATTAGACTGGAGGACCACTACGCAGAGACTTCCAAAGAAGCTGGTTAGAAGTTTCTGTGCAATCAAATGGTTAATGCCCAAATAGGGCTATTTGCATCGCTCTGACCAAAGTTCAGGATTTTATGTTATTTAAAAACTTCAATGATGGGGAAGTTTTCTAACGAGTGAAGCAGTACAAAGTAGGTAAACGTTATCTAGACAAGGAGAACATAGTCATTTGCCTACCTGTATTGTCAGAAGGAAAAGAGAAATCCACCCTATTGATGTGATTTAAATGAACACCTGTCCACTTTCTGCTCTTTATGTCCTGATGCCATGACTTGCCCAAAGTGTGTCAGAGCTGATTTTGAAAAGACATTAATAAGAAAGACTTAGATGTTGCGAGCACACATGCCCTCAGCGAAGCTCTTCTTTCTTTTAATTAAAAAAAAATATCTGGAAGACAGCACTTTGACCAGATAGGAGAGATCAAAGTATTTTCAATTGAGTGTGTTCTATAAAGCGTCACAGGTGGTCACGTTTAAACAAGCTGATTGATTTTTAAGCTTCTACCTCTCCCATTAAACTGACAATTCCTGAGCATGTCTCATTTGAACATAATTAAAATAAGCTATCAAAACAAGATGGATGCTTCTCTCAGATAATGAACTAACAGCCTTGCCTGCAGCCGAGTCCACAACTCCCATAAGATTTGAGTCCACTTCTACCCACTGGAGATATGAGCTCTGTGATCCTGCCACATTGTTATTGGAAATTTGCCCACAGAAAACCAATCTGGGAAAGGAAACCCAGGATAAGCTTTATAGAGTAAGAAACAAGTCTAATCCTCTACACAGTTAAATGTGAAGCTCAATATTTAAATGAATGTCACCTTAAGGGTGACAACCAGAGTGAGAGTGCCTAGGAATGGACTAAAACCAAGAGTAGTCCCTTAGATGGGGCATCCCTTTACATGATCAGAGGCCAGGAAGTAGGCCTTCCAAATTACATTGTAGCTTCCCATCACCAGTATTACAACGGCGATTTGGCTGTATTTGGGATAACTGGATAGTTAATCAGAACTGAATCTCATCTTACCCCTGAGTGTGTGACTGTGTATTTGTGAGGGCAGGAGCTTCCCCCACTCCTGCCACCCCTCCACCAATTCTTAGACTCCAGAAATACCTGATACACTGTAAGCATGTACTCAAATATTCTCCCAGTAAATCTTGTCATTGTGGTAAAGGGTCAACTGATGACATTTTCTAGATAGCCCTTTCTCATTTTAGGCCACACATTTCTACATCCTGTTTGCTGCACAGCCATGGTCTGGTAAGTAGTGATAGATGGAGAAGGGTTCCATCCAAACCAGTTGTCATCAGGTTGACGTATGGTGACCCCAGATGTATCAGAGCAGGACTGTGCTCCCTGGGTTTCCAATGACTGTTGTTTCAGAAGGAAATTGCTAGACATTTCTTCCTAGGTGTTGCTGATTAGCAGAGAGGGCATTATGTGCACCACCCAGGACTCCCAATGGTTTCTACAGAAGGTTCGTGATAAACATACTATTACTGTGTGATGCGATCTATGGAGGGTGGAGGAGCAGTGGATTATGGAATGTGGCTCTACTGCCAAAGTCTCTGTAACTCCCACCAAATGACTTTTTCCTGCATGGGGAAGAAGGTGAGGGAAACGCTGATGGGATTCATCTCTGTGTAACTTGTCAACAGGACATATTGTGATGGCCCATTCTGCTGGGTATAAAACAAGCTCTCTGATAAGAAGGAATGGGGAATCTCACTACCAGCAAGAACCAAGAGTGGAGCGAATCCTCTGGAAACTGAGATCTCTGTGCAACGAATCTCCTTGATCCAGAAGACAGCTGTGACATCAGAGGAACAGCAGCAGAATCAGGAGTGGTGGACTTCCCAGCCCACAGAGCAAGTAAAGCCGAGTGTTTGGGGCAGGAGGCTGGCTGAGTGAGAGCCAGCCTCTGGCACTCAGTTGGGGGAGCTGAGTGTGCTGACCTACAGAGCTGGAGCCGAGTGCCTTCAGGTTGAGGTTTACTGGAGTGGGGTGCCTCGGGAAAGGGGTTCGCTGACTCTTGGAGTTAAATGCCTTTAGGATGAGGCCTGCAGTGGAGTGGCATGCCCTTTGGGGACTTACTAGCAGCCCTGAATGAACTCTGTGACCTATTAACTTCCTTAATAAAGTCTGCATCCATGAGCATTGTCTGTGAGTTCTGTGTGGCCACTGCAATGAATTTTAGACTCTAGATGAAAAAGTAAAGGATGCGGTTTGAGACAGAACACAGAGGGCCACCTATGGTATCTCGTCCTCCAAAGCTCCTAAACCCATCCCTAATATCAGATTTTCATGAACAAGTCTTTTGAACTTGAGAAATTAAAAAGTAGCTTGGGAGAGTCATTCTAAATAGTGATGGCTTAATGTGCCCTGATTCATTCCTTTAACATCTTTCCCTATTTATCAAGCATTCGTAAATCAATTAGAATGTACCAGCAAGAACTTACTGCTCAGAGAACCTTGCAGCGAGTTCTTAGGTCAAGGAAGATTGATGGCTAATTGTGAGGTCACATACTACACAGTGCTCTGAAAGCAAGGCCCCCACAGGTACTTTTTTCCTACGCTTCCTAGTAATTTAGAATCATCAGCTCCCTGAAGTGAAGGGCATGGGGCACCATGGCCTCTCTTGTCCTCTTCAATAAGCACTCGATTCTATGCACACCGGCACATTTTAACTTGGATAGGGCGCTAATCAGAGTGCTAGAGTTCTCACTACGCTGATCAGGTAATTTAGCCAGAGGCCTCTGAGGGCTCCGCTTAATTTTGAGCCCGCTCATTGCACCAGGTACCCTGGAATCAAAAATGAATAAGACATGCTCCTTACTGTTGAGGAGCTTGTCACCTGGAGGTGAAAATAAATTCATAACTCTACAGTTACCTGCATGCTCTAAAAGTGATGCAAACATCTTCATGCACCTACATACCCATGGAGAAGGTGAGCTAAACCTTTCTGGAGAGGTTACCTGACTCAAGCCACTCCAGAGGAGAAGTGGAGAGACTTTCAGGCAAAAAGCAAGGAACAGCATGGCATGTGTAGGGAATTATAAAATTTTTGGTATTGCTGAAGAAAAATATTTGAGAAACATGATTTGGCAAGGTGCACATCATGGTGTTGTTGCCAAAGGAAAAACCGGGCTTGTCTCCAGGTAGAGCACTTAGACACGAAATAGAGATGAGTCAGGGAGTCAAGGATTAGAAAGGAGAGGGGAAGGAAGGGAACAAGGAAAAGAGGGATGACAAAAGAGAGAATAAACACATGACAGGTGTGATTCTTCCTGAAATATTTGTTAATTTTCCTGAAAATTATAGGAGGGATCAAGTTAGCTTAATTTCCATATTCAAAGTCCAGTGCCATAAAAACCCCACTGGGGAGAGCTTTGTGCATTTATTTCTGCAGGATCAGGACAAACAAGCGAAGGTCAAAGAAATCTCTCTCCTTGCACATGCAACTCCTGGGTGGTGCACGTCGTAGTGTGCTCATGTCAACCACCACGTGGGCCAGTCAAAGCCACCAGAGGCACCTCAGCAGAAGGGCCTGGTGACCTCCCAGCCATCGGAAACCCTCGGAGCACAGTTCTTCTGTGACCAAATGGGATCCCGGGAATTGGAGTTGACTCAACAACTGGGTTGAGTTTTCTAGAAAGCAAGGGGACCCCT